CTTTCCTTTTGCCCTGCCGGGCCCCCATCGACCCCCGCTCTCGCGCGCTCTTTATCTCTCTCTTCCCCCCCCCTCTCTCTCTCTCTGCCTCTCTCCCTCCCCGGGGCGGTCTCGCATCGCATGTCTGGCTACCCCCGCTCCGGAGCCCCGTACGTGTACTCCCTCGCAGTTTCGCTGCTTCTCGCCCCCCCCCCCCCCACACACACATGCACTCACCCCTCGCTAACTCTTGGCCAGATCTCGCGCCAGCTCCTTCGCCGGCTCGCTTGCCTCGGCAGCGGCACCCGCCGACTCGCCGGCCGGGCCGCTCTTCGGGAATGGCGTGCCGGCTCTTGAGCTGGCCCTTGGGTTTGCCCTCAGCCACCCGACCGGCGAGGGGCTCGGTCTGTCGGCCGCTTCGGTGGCCTACGCCCGGGCATTGGCGGCCTCGGTGGATTCGCCCTTCGCGCCGCCGGACCTGACACCGGACATCTCGGCCGGGCACTACATGCTGACGGTGTCGGCGGCCCGTGTGCCATTGGACCCGGGCTCGGGCACTGGCCATGGCGGGGCCCCCTCCACGAAGCTCGACCACTTCCGGTGGTTTTTGGTCGGCTTTACCGAGGTGGCGGCCGGGGCATTTGACCCGCGCGCCGGGCCGGCCGGCTGGGTGGCCCTCAGCCGGGACTTCCTGACCACCATCGAGGTGTGCTCGGTGATGGCGGCTCTGCAGCAGCAGCCGGGGTCCGGGCCGGGGCACGAGGGGCTTCGCGTTTGCCCTGGCGCCCTGGCCCAAGACCCGGAGGTGTATCTGCGCTTCCAGCTGCACGCCACGCCGACCGGCCAGATGCCGGATCGGCTGGTGGAGGTGCTGGGCGCACGGCCGGTCGGCCAGCGGGTGGCCCTCCTGTCGCCGGAGTCGGCCAGCGGGTCCGGTGCCCCGGTGGCCTCCTCCCGGGCCAGTGCCTTCCTCTCGCCGGTCGAGTCCGGCGGGGCGGCCGGGGTCCAGGCCCTGAACGCCGGGCTGCCGGCGTCGGTGCCCTGCCTGGCCGAGGCGGCCGTGCGGCTGATCGACCTGCTGCTCTGGTCGCAGTGTGATGCGTCGGCCACCGGGTCGGATGACGGCGGTCTGCCACCCATGAACACCTCGGGCCTGGGGCCTGGCTATCCGGAGCAGGTGGCGCAAACCGCGCGCCTGGGCGCCGCCAGCATTGCCCTGCGGGCGGACCCGCGGCACATGCATTCCCCCCTGGCGGCCGGGGGGCAGGTGGAGCTGTTTGTGTCCACCCGCCGGCCGGTTCTCCCGCGGCCGGAGCTCTACCGGGGCTCGGGCCTTGGGACCTCGGTCGATGGGGGTGGCCCGGCATCTGGGCCCCTGCGAAGCCTGCTCCCGGTGGCCGGGTGCCCGCTGCCCAGCCGGGTTCTCGGCCTGGGGACGCCCTGTTCGCGGGCGGCACGCTGCGCCGAGCCCCGGTGCACCTGCCTGCGCGGCATGCTGGCCGTGTGTGGGGCCGCGTCGGCGGCCACCACCGGTGATGCCCTGGCCCCGGAGGACCTGCTGCCCGGTGCCGGGCGCCTCCGGACCCTCCTGGCCCCCGGGCATTGTGGCGTCACTCCCAGCATCGCGGCCATTCCCTGCACCCTGCCGGCCGTCTGCCCGGTGACTGGGGCCCAATTCGGCGCCCACACGCAGACTTACCGCGCTGGGGCCGGCTCTGGCGGGACCCTGCGCATTCGCGAGGTGCGTGCCGGGCCTTCTCCGGCCTGTTTGGCTGTGTGCATGCTTGCACTCGCACCGCAAGAGGCACCCCTCCTCTCCCTCTCTCTCTCCCTCTCTCTCTCCCTCTCTCTCTCTCCCTCTCCCTCTCTCTCTCTCTCTCTCTCTCTCTCTCTCGCGCCCGCCTCCCTGCTCACTCGTCCATCCTCCCGTCCACTCGCACCCGTCCACCCGCACCCGTCCACCCGCACCCGTCCACCCGCACCCGTCCACCCGCACCCGTCCACCTGTGCACCCCCGCTCACGCCCCCACTCGTGGGCTCCTCCGGGTGCATCCTTTTCTCTTGTCCCCCTGCTGTCCTCCCGGCTGCTGGTCTCCAGATCCTTCACCAATCGCCGCATTGCTTCTCCGTGCCGGTGGCCCTGCTGGAGCACCTGTCGCACATTGAGCACACGGCCGTTCAGTACTTCACCTCCTTCGGCCTGGCGGGTGCCGGCGAGCAGGCCGCCCTGCAGGAGGTCCTGTCACAGGTGATCGACCAGCACACCAACCTGCTGGCCCTGTACCGGTCGGTGGTGTCCTCCTCGCGGGAGGGGCCCGCCAGTCTGGGCTTGCGGCCGGTTCCGGCCACCGACGCCGAGGACCTGGCCGGCGCCGGCCGCGGGGGGCTTGAGTTCCTCGGCCACTTGGCAGATGAGGCGGCCCCCGGCGATGGCACTGGCAGCGGCCAGGGGCATGACCATGGGCCCGGTGGCGTCGCCGCCACCGGCACCACCGTCGACGATGACGCGGGCACCCCCCTAGCCAGGGAGGATGGCGCGGCCTGCACGACGGCCCTCATTCGCCCGGGGCTGAATGGCGTCAATCCGGTGGGCTTCCGGGCATCCGTGCGCAAGAATGAGCAGATGCTCCAGTGCTTCCCGATCAACCTCCAGCTGCATGAGTGGCTGGTGGAGGGGGTCTCCCCGGGGGGGGCTGGCAAATATGGCGGCCTCAGCAGCAACACCAGCATCGGTGACCTGGGCCCCGGGCTGGGCGGGGGCTTTGGTTTGGCGCGCTTGGGCCGGACGCTGAACCTCAGCAGCCTGGCCGATGGCGACAGCACCGACGACCCGGCCGACGAGGATGCCGACACCGACGACCCGGAGGAGGAGGCCGAGGAGCCCGCCGCCCCGGGGCCGGGGCTGCGCTCCTTCGGGGGGAGGTACTTTGCCGGGGGGGGTGGCCTGGCTGGCAGCCGGGGCGCCCCGTCCCTGGGGGGGGCGCCCCCGGCGGCCGGGCCCTCTGCCGGCTTGGCCGGCTACTTTGTGGTGACCTTCGGCGCGCCGGCGGCCCATGGGCTGGGCTTCAAGAAGGGCGGCCTGCTGAGTCAGCTGCGTGCGGCCCAGCGCGGGCGTCGGGTTCTGCTGTCCCGGGCCCCGGTGGCTGTGTGGCGCGCCGTGGCGGCCGGCAGTCAGGGCTCCTCCTCCTCGTCCTCGTCCTCGGTGTCGGCGGCGGCGGCGGCCGGTGGTGCCCAGTCGGTGCCCGGGTCGCTGGATGCCTGGCTGACGGATCTCTTTAGCGAGTTCAACCTGCTGGAGCATCCGGCGTCTTTGGCCGTCGAGGTGCCGACCCTGGGGGCGCTGGTGAGCGCGGCCCCGGGCGACTCGGCGAGCAGCCTGCTGGCGGAGTTCCTCTCGGCCGACGGCCGGCAGGTGGCTCCGCCGCAGCAAGTGGTCGAAGCGTCGGCTGCGCTGCGCAATGCCGCCACCTCCTGCAGCGATCTGCTGGGCGTGACACCGGACATGGCAGCGGCGGCGGCGGCGGCAGCGGCGGCGGCGACAACCGCCCCCACGGGCCGGGCCGCCAGCACCACCGCCACCGAGCTGGCCCTGGCAGGCCGCGCCGCGGGTCCCCAGCACCGGCGGAGCCTCCTCCGGTCGGTGCTTTGGCTCTTTTCGTCCGGGTCGCCGGGTGCCGGCGATTCGGCCACCGCCCGGCACTCCAAGCTCTTCTCCTTCCTGGACGAGTCCTTCGGCGGGGTCGCCGGGGGTGGGGAATCGGGCGAGGGGCTCGCCTGGGGCCCGGGCCCTGGCGGCATGGCGATGCCGGCCGTCGGGGGGGCCGGCCTGGCCACCGGTCTTCGGTCTCTGACCCTCAAGCGCACCGAGCTGGCCAACACCCAGTCGGCGATTGCACATGCGCTGGCTGGTCTGCTGGCGCGCCTGGAGCAGGTGGCCGCCGATCCGCGCCAGGGTCAGCGGAGCTCCCGGCCGCTGACCAAATGCTGGCTCCTGGTGATCGGTCTGCTGGAGCATCTGTTTGAGGAGCTGGCTGTGGTGCGGCTTTGTGTTTGCCCTTTCCGCTTTTTTGTTCCCCGCCTTCCGCCACTGCCCTTCCGCCTCGATCGGATCCCTTCTAGCATGGCCCGCTGGCCATATGACCGACCTTGGGTGCATCCCCCTCTCCCCTCCCTTTCTGACACACACACACACGACCACGACCACGACCACGACCACGACCACGACCACGACCACGACCACGACCACGACCACGACCACGACCACGACCACGTGTAGCTCCCCTCCTGGACGGTGCACCTCCGGCCGCTGGCCGTGCGCCTGCTGGAGGAGGCTCTGCCCCAGTGCGCGCGAGTGCTGAACCTGCACCTGGCCCTGTGGCATGTGCCGGCCAACGCCGCCGGGGTGTCCTTCATGGCGCCAGACCGGCAGGCCGCCACGGTGACCCGGGCCCGGGAGGCATTGGGTCGCGTGGGTGACCTGGCTGCGGCCCTGGCCGCCGGCGGGCGCCGGGCCGTCGAGGAGCTGCTGCTGCTGGTGGCCGTGCGTGGCGAGCCGGAGATTTGGCTCGGCGCCGGGCATGCGGTGCAATTGTCCTCGCTGCCTGGGGGCCCGGTGGATGCCGGGGAGCCGGTGACCGCGCGAGTGCGCATGGGACCGGTGCCGGCCGTGCCGGCTGCCCCTCGGGGCTACCTCCACGGGGAGATGCTGCAATACCGGCTGGACTGCTGCCTGAGTCAGGCCCTGGCGGCCCTGGTGACCTCCTTCACCACGTTCCTCTCGCGCAACCTCAGCAATCGCCTGGTGCTGGCCCAACTCGGTGAAATTGGCTACCTGGCCCAGTTCGAATGGTGCGCACATGCCACGCGGCCCCGGGGCCCGGGGCCGGCCGAGCCTCCCTACGCTCCTTCGCTTTCCCCGTCCCGCCGGGTCCTGAGGGGATCTTCTCCTTCCCGGCCCTTCGCCATCCATATCCCCCCCCCCCCCCTTCGCCCCGTGCTAACCTTCCTCGGGCCTTCCGTTGCTGTGTCCTCTCTCTCTCTCTTTCCCTTTCTCTTTCCCTGCGCTCCGGGATGTCATCGCCCAGCCTCCTGAGCACGGCCGGCTCGGAGAAGGACATGATCGAAGACATGTTTGTGGCGGTGATGTCCCTCGGCCGCGTCCGACTGAAGCTAGTCCCGGCCGGCTGCCCGTGCGGCGAGTCGGCTCTGCATGGCGGGCGCTTCCGCCGGTCGAGCCATGTGTACTTCGAGGGGCCGCGCGACCAGCTGACCGTGCTGGTCCCGCTGTCGACCGAGCTGTATGATGCCCTGCCGGCGGCATTGCAGCACCGGCCACTGTGCCAGGTGTGTGGCAGCGGGTCGCCCTTCCGGGGGGAGTGCCGCGCGGCGGCCGACGCCGGGCGAATGGCCCCGGCCCGTGGCGGCCCCTCGGACGCCTGGGTCTGCGCCCACCGTGGCGCGGCCTGCCTCGGGCAGACGCACTGCCAGCAGGGGGCCCTGCCATTTGTGGGATCCCCCTACCGCGCGGCGGCGGGCGACAGCCCGGACGGCGGGGGGATCGCCATCTGGCCGGTGATGTTCTCGCAAGGGGTCAACAGTGTGCAACTGCTGGCCAACCAGTTCGGCGACACCACCCTCCAGGGCCGCATCAATGCCACCAGCCTTCGGCAGCTGACCCGGTACCAGCGCCTGTTTGATGGGCTGCTGAGCACGGTGCTGGACTTTGACGGTGACGCCGGCGAGTTGGTCCGCGGGCGCTTTGGCCTGCGCCTGGAGCATCTCGACCGGGCGGGGATCGACGCGCGGCGTCGGCCCCTTGGAGCCCTGCTCGCGGCCCTGCGGGGCCTGATGACTGATGCCCCTCTGGAAGAGGACGTCGACGCCCCGGCCGGCGCGAGTGCTGGCCTTGCCGACCTGGACGCGGAGGGGTCGCCGGCCGGCGCCACGGCCGCCGGGACGCTGGCCAGCCCCGCCGCCGCCGCCGCCGCCGCCGCCGCCTCCCTGGGCCCGGATCCGGAGTATCTGGCGCCTCTGAGCACCGGTCCAGAGGTCGAGGACAGCACGTCGGCCAACTTGGCCCCGGGGGCGGCCGGTGGCCCGGTGGCCTCGGCTGCCCCCGCCGGCGGGAGCCTCTTCAAGTCGGAGTTCCGATCCGTGGCCCGGGCCCTGGAGACCCTGCTGCTGGCCGAGCGCATCACCGAGCTCCTGAATGGGGGCCGGTTTACCTCGTGCAAGTCGGCCAAGGACCGGTCCTCCATGTCGGTGACCCTCGAACTGGCCCTGTCGCTGGTGTACCACCACCGGTTGGACTTGGGCCCGGGGGGCTTGGCGTCGGTCGGGGCCCCCGGCGAGGCGGGCTCCTCGTTGCTGGCCGCCTCGCGCCCCGGGGCCCCGGTCACCTTGAACCTCGAGGCCCTGGTGGCCGGGGGCGTGGCGCCAGCCGGCGACTTTGAGCATCTGCGCGACGCGCTTCGGCTCTTTTCCGGCACCCGCCTGACCAATGTCTGGGTCAACACCGGGACTCCGTGCTTTGCCTTCAATGTCCTCCAGCAGGTGGGCCTGCCTCGGCTGTACCGGCCGCCCCCGGGGACTGCCGGCTCCAACCGGACCTGAGGCATGATATGCCTTTCCCCTTCTCTCTCTCTCTCTATCCCTTCCCTCCTTCTTTGGTCGCTGGTGCCTGCACTAGCGCCAGAGCCCCTGTCCTTGTTTCGTCCCTCGCATTTGCATTCGCATTCCCCCTCCCGACCATGGTCGTGTACTTGGCCACGCCGGGAAACTAGACAACACTCGCCTCTTCCCTCCAGCTAAGGTACCCCGGAGAGCCCGCAAGAAGGGCGGGCATAGAAAACAAGACACAGGAGATGGGAGTAGGGGAAGGGGGGGGGGGGGGTGTAGTGCGGCACGTGCGCGCGCCTGCGGCGGTGGCGCCGATGGCGGCAGCTGCAGCGGCGATGACACGCCATACAAAAGGAGAGCGAAGTGGAAACAGGCCAGCGAGCCGACAAGCCGCCCTGGCAAATCAGGACGCCTCATCGTCGGGCTCACTGTCCGAAGAGGCAGAGCCGGAGCCGGAGTCGGAGCCGGAGTCGGAGCCGGAGCCGGAGCCGGAGCCGGTGTTGGCAACATCCGAGGCCGAGGCAGCGTCTGCAGACGCGTCTGGCGAGGGACTGGCAGCGGTGGACGAGGCGCCGGCCGACTTGGTGTCGGCACCAGTTGTGGCGGTGGCGGCACTGACATCGGCGGCTGGCTTGGTCGCGGCGACCGGCTTGGCCGCCTGGCTGAGCTGATTTGAAGAAACTGTGGGTGGGGCCACGATCGGGGTGATCTTGATGAGGTGGGAGATCTTGTTCAGCAAGGTCTGAGCATCGTTCTTGTTCTTGCACTGGCATGCGCGCCAGGGCCGGAGCCGGAGCAGAGGAACAAAGGACGAAGAGGGAGAGACAGCGAGACAGCGAGCGAGAGAGAGAGAGAGAGAGAGAGAGACAGAGGGGGAGGGAAAGAGGGAGAGAGGGAGGGAGGGGAGGGCCCAGAAGTTAGCGCAGACTCCACGGAGACAAAGGGGCCACGTTCAGTTGGTTGTGTTGCCGCCACTTCGAGGCCAGGAAGAGCGGGCGGCGGGGGCAGAGGCGGAGGTACGGAGAGAGAAAAGGGAGGAAGGAAAGTCCGCCGGCGGAGACGCACGCGAATCAGGTAGGTGGCACGGGAGGCAGCGGCATCAGTCGGCTTGCGACCCAGCTCCTCGGCGGCCACCGGGCAGTTGGCAATCAGGCGGATGTCCCGCTCGAAGACAATGCCCACCGGCATGGTGTCATAGAGGTTGGCATTCAGGACCAGGCGCAGGTTGCCGTCGGTGTGCATCATGACTCGGCCACGGACCGGGCTGCCGGTCGACGGCCCGCCGGCGGACCCGTCATTGCGAACCAGGCGGAGCTGCCCGGTGCCGCGTTCGCGCCAATCCCCACGGCCAGGGTCCAGCAGGAAGAGGCGGACACGCATCTGTGGTGCGGATGGTCAGCCGGCGGAGGACGGCAAAAGAAAAAGGGGGGCCAGGGCCGGGGAAAGGAGGCAGGCACACGAGGCGGAAGACCACCAGTCGAGGCCCGACAAAAGGACAACGTACACTGAAGAAGGCCACCTCGTTCTCGGCCAGGAGCGCCGGCACGGCGACCGGCGAGGAGGGCGGCAACACGCGGGCCACGGTGTCGGTGGCGGCGGCGGCGGCGACGGCGGCGGCGGCCGTTGTGGTGGTGGTCGTCGCGGCCGAGGCAGCGGCGCTCGAGCCGGCGTCGGCCTGGGCGGTGGCGGCCGCGGAGAAAATGGAATGCCCCGAGGTCGAGGGGGCGCCCCAGGCAGGCTTGGAGTCGCCGGCCAGGCCCCAGGCAAAGCCCTCGGCCGCGGCCGCGGGACCGGCCCCGAAGCCGGCACTCCAGGCGCTGGCCGGGTCTCCCCAGGCGGGCTTGGCCTCGCCCCAGGGGGCCGAGAAGCCGGTGGCTGCCTTGTCACCGGCGGCCGGGGTGCCGAAGGCCGAGACTCCAGCGTAGGCACCAAAGCCGGAGGTGGTCTGGATTAGGGGAGGGGGGGGAGGGGGGGGGGGCGCGGCGTGAGGATTCGGCACAGTCCCCCGACAAGGCGGCAAGGGTGGCGGAGCGGCGGAAAAGGACGGAGCGGCGAGTGGCCAGGGGCGCACCTTTTGGGACTTGGCCGACCCGGCGGCCGGCGCCGCGGCCGGAGCTGAAACCGCGTCGGTGGTGGGTGGGGTGCTGTCATCGACAGGCCGCTGGCGCTTGTGCGAAGAGGGCTCCTCGGGCGAGGTGCCCGGGGAGGAGGACGATGGCGCGCCAGAGACGGCGCTAGCCGCCGGCAGGGGGGTCGAGGACGCGCTCGCGTCTGGCGTGCGTGGGCCGACGCGTGGAACCGCAAATTGAGGCGGGTGTGTGTGTGTGTCAGATACATGGCTGGGAGTTGGGGGCTGGGGCCGAGGCGGGGGAGACAGGGGCAGAGGGAGATGAGCGCACCTGACATGCTCGTGAAACGGGCAAACAACCGGGGGCTGGGCGGGGAGGTCAGGGCTCGACCAGGGGCGTGCGTGCGTGCGTGCGTGCGTGCGTGCGCAGAAGAAAGGCACAAAAGGCAGGTGGAGAGAGGGGGGGGAGGAGGTGAAACGGCCTGCGGCAGGTCGTACAGGGAGGAGAGAGGCTGGTGAGCGCCGGATGATGGGGTCGTCCGGAGGAGGCCCTTGAATGGAGTGGCCAGCTCTCGGGTCGGAGTAAGCGTGGCAGCCCCACCCGCCGGGCGAGGGAGTGCGGTTCGCGCACACGCACACACATGCCCATCAGGGGGGGGCGGAGCGGTCGACGCGCCATGCCCCTCACCCCCGGCGGCTGAACAGCCAGGTGCGCGCGCGCGCGCACACACACACACACACACACACATGCGCATGCTGGCCGGCGTCCCCGACCGGGGGCGGTTTCTGTTCCGCCATGTTCACGGCGCGCGAGAATGCACCATCCCCCC